AACATTGTGCAATCATTGGCAAATATCCCCACTTCTGACCTTATGATGGAGGGAAGGTCATTGATGAAGCAGTTGAAGATGGTTGGGTCTAGGACAGTACACTTAGGAACTCCTGCTGAGATGTCCTGGAACTGAGATGACTTACCTACAGCAACCGTGACCATCTTCCTACATGTCAGGTATGACTCCAACCACCAGACAGTTTATCCCCAATACCCACTGATTCCAGTTTTGCCAGAGGTCCTTAATGCCACACTCGGTCCAATGCAGCCTTGATATCAAGGGTTATCGCTTTGACCTCAGCTCTGGAATTCAGCTTTTTTCCCATGTTTGAACCAAGGCTGTAATGAGGTCAGGAGCTGAGTGGCCCTGGAAGAACCCAAACTGGCGTCGCTGAGCAGATTATTGCTGAGCAGGTGCTGCTTGATAGCGCTGTTGATGACACCTTCCATCACTTTAGTGATGAGCAAAAGTAGACTGATGAGCGGTAATTGGCCGGGTTAGATTTGTCCAGCTTTTCAAGTACAGGACATACCTGCGCAATTTTCCACATTGTTAGGTAGATGCCAGTGTTGTAACTGTATTGGAAGAGCTTGGCGAGGGGAGCAGCATCTAGTGGAGCAGGAGTCTTCAGTACTGGCTGGAAAATTGTCAGGGCCCATAGACTTTGCAGTATCCAGTGCCTCCAAGTATTTTTTGGGCAGGTTCAGTTGAGGCAATAAAGGGACATTGGATTTGGGTAGAAATGGAGTAAAGGCAGAAGATTGGTACTGGGTAATGGAACCAGTGCAGGCATGATGGGCCGAAAGGCCTCCTTTTGCACTGTAACAACTCCGCGTTTCCGAGTTGCTCTTGGTGCCCTGACAAATGTTTCTATTTACTTATTGCAATATTAATCTAATAATTTAATATTGCCATATCCAACCCTAAAGTTAATCACTAAAGGTGTTGTAAACCTCAAACAAAAAGAGAAAGTGCTAGAGAAACTCTGCAGGTCTGGCAGCATCCATGGAGGGAAAAACAAAATTAATGTTTCAAATCTGAGTGTGTTTGGAATTTTGTACAGACCTTTCTTCCAGCTGTTTTCATAAACCCTTTCTACTTTACTACATTTGCCTAACTCTGATCTCCCATAAGTGGCTATCCTATTTTTTTGTCCCACATGCCCATACCCAATCTCATCACAATCCTTCTTGTTTTCTGGCAGAAGCTGACTAATTTGCAGTATGAAGGCCTTACGATGCAGCAAAGGCAATTTTTGTTTTGCAATGGGCTAATCTATGCTTCTATTCTTCCTGCCAAAGTGCAAAACCTCACACTTTCCCACATTGTATTCCATCTGCCATTTCTTTACCTACTCTCCTAGCCTGTCCAAATCCCTCTGCAGCCTCCCTGCTTCCTCCATACAACATGTCCCTCCACCTGTCTTTGTGTCATCTGTAAATTTAGCAACAGTGCCCTCAGTTCCTTCTGTTGTTAACGTGTAACGCGAATAGTTGTGGTCCCAACACTGATCCCTGTGGAATTCCACAAGTCACCAGCTGCCATCCTAAAAAAGATTCCTTCATCCCCACTCTCTGCCTTCTGCCAGATAGCCAATCTTCTATCCACACCAGTACCTTGCCTCTAACACCATGAGCTCTTATCTTATTCAGCAGCTTCCTGTGCGGTACCTTGTCAAAAGCCTTCTGGAAATCCAAATAGATCATGTCCACTGGCTCTCCCTTGTCTAACTTGCTCATTATCTCCTCAAAGATTTCTAACAGATTTGTCAGGCATGACCTCCCCTTGACAAAGTACTTACTCCGCCTTATTTTACCATGCACTTCCAAGTACTCTGCAATTCTGTCAATAATAATGGACTCTAAAATCTTGCCATCCACTGAGGTCAGAATAAGCAACGTGTAATTTCTGTTCATCTGCCTCCCATCCATCTTAAACTGGGGTGTTACATTAGTCATCTTCTAGTTCTCTGGTACCCTCCATGACTCCAGTGATTCCTGAAAGATCACTACCAATGTCTCCACAATCTTCTCAGCTATCTCCTTCAGAACCCTGGGGTGTAGTCCATCCGGGCTGGGTGATTTATCCACCTTCAGACATTTCAGCATCCCCAGCACCTTCTCCTTAGTGATGACCCCTGCAATCACCTCTTCCCCTTGACCCTCTTGAAGCTCTAGTATGCTGCTGGTGTCTTCCACTGTGAAAACTGATGCAAAGTACCTATTCGGTTCTTCTGTTATTTCTTTGTTCCCCACCACTACTTCTCCAGCCTCATTTTCCAGCAGTCCAATGTCCGCTCTGACCTCACTAATATACATGTAAAAAAAATTCTTGCAATCTACTTTAATATTACCAGCCATCTTACCCTCATATTTCATCTTCTCCCCCTTATTGATTTTTTAGATATCCTCTGCTACTTTTTAAAAGACTTTCTAATCATCTGACTTCCTACTAATCATCACCATATTGTACGCTTTTCCTTTTACCTTTGTACTGTCCCTGACTTCCCTTGTCAGCCATGGTTGCCTCATCCTCCCCGAAGTACGTTTCTTCTTCCTTGGGGTGAAATATTCCCAGAAACTCCTTCCATTGTTGCTCCACCATCCTCCCTTCTCAATCAACTCTGGCCAACTCCTCCCTCATGTCTTTGTCGATACTTTTACTCAATTTTAATATTGTTCCATTGGATTTTGGCTTCTCCCCCTCAAACTGCAGGGTGAATTCTGTCATATTAGTCATGGTCACTTCCCTCTCGGGGTTCCTTCACCATATGCTCCCTAATCACATCTGTGTGGACTGGCTGGCAGAGATATTCACTGACATCTTCAACCTCTACCTCCTACAAACCGAAGTCCCCATCTGCTTCAAGGAGACCACCGTCATCCCCGTACCCAAGAAAACACAAGCAGTGTGCCCTAATGACTTTCTGGACAACAAAGACACCTACGTCAGACTCCTGCTTGTTGATTATAGCTCTGCCTTCAACACCATTATCCCTCCGGATCGATCTCAAAACTGAGGTCTCGGCTCCGCCCTCTGCAACTGGATCCTCAGCTTTCTGATCCACAGACCACAATCAGTGAGGATAGGTAACTGCACCTCCTCCACAATAACACTCAACACTGGAGCCCCCCAAGGATGTATCCTCAGCCCCCTTACTGTATTCCCTGTACACCTACGACTGTGTTGCCAAATTCCAAACGAACGCCAACTACATGTTCGCTGACAACACCACCGTAGTGGGACGGATATCTAACAACAACGAGTCAAAATACAGAAGGGAAATAGAGGGCTCGGTGACATGGTCCAATGAAATCAACCTGTCCCTCAATGTTGGCAAAACTAAAGAACTGATCATCGACTTCAGAAAGAAAGAATGAGAACACGCCCCCATCTACATCAATGGAACTGAGGTTGAGAGAGTGAAGAGCATCAAGTTCCTTGGAGTGATGATAACCAAATGCGATGGTCAAGAAGGCACAACAACGTCTCTTCTTCCTCAGGCGGCTCAGGAAATTTGGCATGTCAATAAGGTCATTCACCAACTTCTACAGATGCACCATTGAAAGCATACTGTCCAGGTGCATAACGGCCTGGTATGGCAACTGCTCTGCCCAGGACCATAAGAAACTACAGAAGGTGGTGTGCACAGTCCAGACCATCACGGAAGCCAACCTCCCATCCATGGACTCTATTTACACGGCTCACTGCTGCGTGAAAGGCGGCCAACATCATCAAAGACCCATCACACCTTGGTAATGATCTCCTACTACCTCTTCCATCAGGCAGAAGGTACAGAAGCCTGAACACATGCACGAGCAGGTTCAGGAAAAGCTTCTTTCTGGCTGTTATCAGACTGTTGAATGGACTTTAGCCTCAAATAATGTAACCTGCAATATAATCTGTATGTGTCTAAGTTTCTTTGATCTGTATGTCCTTTGCTTGCTGTGATCTGCCTGTACTGTTTGTAAACAAAGCTTTTCACTGTATTTCGGTACACGTGACAATAAAATCAATCAATCATTACACATCACCAAATCCAGAATTGCCTGTTCCCTAGTGGGGTCTATTACAAGCTGCTCCCAAAAACCATCTCATAGACATTCCATGACCTCATTTCCTTGGGATCTTCTACCAACCTGACTTTCCCAGTCCACTTGCACTTTGAAGACCCCCATAATTATTGCAATACTGCCTTTCTTACTTGCCTTTTGTATCTCCTGATTTATTTTCTTTCCCACATCCTGAGAACTGCAAGGAGGCCTGTATGTAACTACCATCAGGGTCTTTTCTCGTGGTTCCTCAACTCTATGCACATCTTACGACTCTCAAATACTTCTTGCTGTTGATTTAATTTCATTCCTCACTAACAAGGTTACCCTGCACCCTCTGTCCGACTGCCTGTCATTTTTGATGGGACATGCATCCTTTGATATTTAATTCCCTCCCTGATCCCCTTGCAGCCACATCTCTGTGATAACAGTGGACATTACCTCAGCTGAGTTGGCAGCATCTGTGGAGAGAAAAAAATGGTAACATTTTAAGTCCTGTATGTCTCTTGATCAGAACTGGACTAATTTTAAATCGGTATTAACCAAAGAAATGTACATGGAGATATGCCACAGGTCTGACCTGATCACAATGAATAGCAGAGGGGCTGAATGGCTCCAGTTCCCATGTTCTTATATTCTACCCCAGTCACTAAATAGGCTGAATGGCCTACTCTTGTTCCTTTATCTCTCTATTCTATCCTTGCCATTAAATATGATGAATGGTACACTTCTTGTCCTGTATTCTGTTTCTATATTTCTACATGTTCTATCCCAGTCAATGAATGGGCTGAATGGCCTATTCGTGATTCTATATCCTCTGTTTTCATATTTCCACCAGTTGTACCACAGCTATTGAATGGGCTGAATGGCCTCCTCCCTCCTGGGAAGTTGGGGGGCTCGCGCTGACGTCATCGCGTCGGGCAGGGGTTGACGCTACGGCGGCGCCTCGGCGCGCCGGGTCAGGTGACCCGGGGAAGATGGCGTCGCTGCTGCAGCTGGAGCGGGTGGTGTACCTGGTTCACGGCGATAAGAAGCTGCGGCTGCCGCTCTCGCAGCTTTACTTCTGCCGCTACTGCCATGAGCTGCGCTCGCTCGAGTGCGTCTCCCACGAAGTAGGTGCCGCCGCTCCGCTTAATCCCGACTTTTATAATCCGCCTCCTCCACCCATCCGCCGGTCCGGCCCAGGCCCAGCCCCAACTCCAGGCGCCTGACAGTCACAGCCCTCGACCCAGGCCCGACCCCTACCCTTAGGCCATCTCCAGGCCCAGCCTCAACCCCAAGGCCGGCCCCAGTCGCCTGGCATACAACAGGCCCAGTCCCCATCTATTCACCCAGTGCCCTCCTGTCAGTCAGGGCTCTCCATGGTGACGGGGCAGGGTGGGCCCTGGCTCCAGGGTGATGGGATGTGGGGACCGAGAGAGCTCAGGCCCAGGCCATGAACCCCGGAGCCCCATTCCGGCCCCTTCTCGCAGCCCATCAGGCCACACCCCAGAGGTAAAGTGGGGAGGAGGCGCTGTCTGAGAAACAAAAGCAAAAATTGCTGGAAAAGCTCAGCAGGTCTGGCAGCATCTGTGATGTGGACAGGAATTAGAATTAACGATTCAGGACCAGTGACCCTTCCTCAATGGTGCTGACTCAGGCCTGATCCAACCTCTGTATCTATCCCACTCCCCACCTCTATCAGGCTGTTCCCATTCCCCCAATTTTCACTCCTGTGCTCAATCTCTCTCCATCACCCTTGTGACCTAATGTCTAACCAACACCCACCCATGCCTGATTTCTGATCCCCCAAATTTTACTCAGCACTCCTTCACCACCGTATGCCCAATCTGTCAAAAGCAAGTAGTGTTTCAGTTTTCTTAAACTTGAAAAAGTTGAAAAGCCAAGCAAAATTTTAATTATTCCAACTCTTTCACAAAGCACAACGAGTGGCAATATCCTTAGTGTTGGAGATTTATTTTGGAAATGCTGTAATGGTTCAGTCTCAAGCATCATATTTGACGCAAATCAATTTGATACCCATGACACCAATGGGATGTGATTTGACAGTTCTGGCTAGGAATTTCAGACACCAAAGATGTTATCAAAACTAGGTCTATTTTCTACTGCTATGTCTTGATTAGTATTGCTTCTTTTTTAAGCTTATTTTGGATCTTTCTCAAGCTTATTTTGGATCTTTTTTATTAAGAAAGTTTTAGATGATTAAACGGTCATTGAAAAGCCAGTCAGACCTGTGTTCAGGGATGGTTAGAGTCTTCAGCAACAACTTTCCTTCCTTAGTGCTTTTAACGTAGAAAAATGATCACAGACTGTTCAATAAGAGCTTTATCAGACAGAGTCTAACAGCAGACTACATGAGGCAGTGCTCAGGCATGCAATGACCCTAGGTTTAAGGATTGTTGTAAGGAAGCAAGAGGGGTAGTAAAGTGGAGGAAGCTCGGGAAGGTAATTCTAAGGCTGAGGACTCAGACTGCTGAAGTAATGGCTGTCAATGTTTGAGTGATTTTCATTGAAGATGCACAAGAAGTCAGAAGTGAAGGAGTATGGAAATCCGAGGCTTGAGGACTGGAAGTGGTTACAGAAATTGACTCATAGACATTTACACAGAAAGAGACCATTTGGCTTGTTAGCTGCACACTGGCTCAAAATCCTGGCTACACTAATCCCGTTTTCTGGCTTTGGCCCACAGCTGTGGTGACTTAAGTGAAGTTCTAAATATTGCTTAGATATTATGAGAGTTTCTGACTCATCACTCACGAAGGGGAAAAATTCTCAACTCTCCTCTTAGCCTCTACCTCACCTTAAAATTATGCCCTCTGGATATTGACTCCTCTACAAATGAAAAATGTGCCTTCCTCTCCACCTCAATCTTACATCCTGTATTGGATCACCTGTCAAATTTTGCTGCAAATCTAATCTTTCTATCAGCTTTCTTTCAATCAGCCTATCCAATCTTTCCTCACAGTTCAGACTGTCAAGTCCTCTGCACCCTCTCTAGTGCAACCCTTCTCATAACATGGTAGCCAGAACAGCACGCAGTGTTCCAAATGTGGCCTGACCAGCATTTTCTGCAATTCCAACATAACTGTCCTGTGCCTGTTTTCTATTCCTTAGTTAATAAAGGCAAGTATCCCTTGTGACTTCTCGATGGCTTTATCTACCTTTAGTATTTTACAGGGGCCAATTATTCATAGTGCCATCTCTTGCCTTATTAGCACTTCCTAAGTGCATTACGTCACACTCTTGTAGTAAATGGAAATCAGCCCACTAGCTAACAAGTCTGATGATATCCTCATGCGGCTTATGACTATCCTCCTCACTATTTACCACTCTATTTAGTAGAAAAGGGAAAGGTCATGAAGTATTTTGTGTTCACCAAGGACAGGGACAAATGCGCCAGAATTAATACATATATTTAGCATATAAGCCAGAAAACAGTGGAAAATTAAATTGAGACTGTGGGTGGAGTAAGCGATTGAAAGAATACGAATGGAATTCTATCATGTGAAAAAACCAGGGTAACTTCAGTGTAATGCTGCAGACCACCATGAGGATAGTTTCCTCTTTCTGATTCTCGTGTTTTTTTTTCAAACATTATTATGATGGATCTCTTCAGTCAACGAACTGTGAATCTGAATAAAAACCTATGTGATTTAGAATCATATTGGGTGAGCATAACACTTGACTGATTCACAACTTGTCTTGACCTGGAATTTGTAAATGACCTACATAAGATGATGAAATGGAAGATGTGGAACAGTGAGAAAAGGCAGAATAATTCCGTATGAAGTTGTGAGATTCAATTGCAGCAAAATCCAGAAGTCAGGATTATAATTCATAGAATCATGCAGTTCAGGGGGCCTTTCAGCCCATCAAGTCCATACTGCCAACAATATACTAAATCTCACTAGTCCCACTTTCCAGCAATAAGCCCATAGCCTTGAATGTTATGACACTTTCAAATGCTCATCTTTTTAAAAGTTGTGAGGTTACCTACCTCACTGCCCTCCCAGGCGGTGCATTCCAGATTTCCACCACCCACTAGTGAAGGAAGAATTTTCTTAAATCCCAACCCTCCCAATCTCCTGCCTTTCTTCTTAATATTATGTCCCTTTGTTATTGACCCATCAACTATCTCTCCGCTCTGTCCATGCCCCTCATAACCTTATACATCTGTCAGCCCCTCACAACTTTTTTTTGTCTCAAAGAAGACAACCCAAGCTTATCTATTCTTTGTAGAAGGAGTTCAATCCTAGGCAACATCCTGGTGAATCTTCTCTGCACCTGCTCCAGCACAATCAAGTGTGACCAGAACTGTGGTCACAGTTCCATCTGTGGACTAACTAAAGTAATGTACAGCTCCAACAACCTTTGTAAATGGCAAAGTTTGTAGGGAAGAAGGAAGAATGAAAACAAACAATTTGAAGAGAATGTTGATTGACATTTCAGTAGAGGACAAATGGAACATATTTAAAAGAATAATGCTGAGCCTAAAGGACAAACCCATATCCAAAATCAGCAAAGTTGAACAAAGTAAATCTGACCTCCAGATTGGCTGACGAAGGGAAAAATGAGTTTTGTGGATTGTCCAGGCTGTTAGAAGAAGGGGGTTTGGATGAGTACTGGATTGTGCAGAAACCAATTAAAAGTCGATGTCAGAAAAGCTGAGGGATATAAAAGAAAAATGTAGATTCAGAACAAACTACAACAGCAAAAAGTTCAACTTGCTGTGGATGTCAGAAATCGGAAATAAAAACAGGAAATGTTAGAAATATTCAGCAGGTCATACGTTGTCAGGAGGGAAACAGACTTAATGTAATGGGTCGTGACTTTTCATGAGGAAACAAGACAATTCAGGTGTCTCTCCTGTACATCCATAGCTCCTCAAAATTAATTTGGAAACAGCCCTGCCTGGCTAAATGTTGGACCCTGAATTGGTGATCAAAATCAGCATGAACTGTTTAGTCTGAGAGAGAGATGAAGTCTTAAGACTTTTTTCACTGGAACAAGGTGGATAAGAGGAAATTTAGGGAGTTCACTAAATTAGTAAGAACACCGATAAAAGACCAGGGAAAGAGTTCCCTGAGCCTGGTTAGTCAGGGACATGCTTATGAGGCTCCGAATTGAGACAATGATGGGGATTGCTACTTTTCATTGGAGCGAATACTGGCAGTTACCAGACCTGTCGGTAAAGAGAGTGACTGGGATTATTAGTAGTTATTAGCTAGTCAATGACAGGGACATGGTGGCCTGGTGGTAATATCACTGGAGTAGTAACTCAGAGGCCCAGACTATTGTTCTTGTACAAGGTTTTGAATCCCATCATGGCACATGGTGAAATTTGAATCAATTAAAACAACCTGGAATTAAAACATGTAACTATAAACGTAACTGCACATGTTGGAATCTGGAGAAACTTAGCAGGTCTGATAGCATTCGTGGAGAGAGAACGGAGTTAATGTTTCAAGTCCAGAGACCCTCCTTCAGAATGCATTCTGAGTTTCTGTTTTTGTTTGTAGTGTATAACATTGTGACTTGTCATGAATATCCATCTAACACTAAGGAAATCATTTGGCCTACATGTGATTACAGACTCTCAGTAAAGTGATGACTCTTAATTGCTTTCTGAAAGCCACTGAGTTCAAGGGCAATTAATGAAGGACAGCAAAGGCTAGCCCTGCCAGCAATGCTCATATCCCATGAATAAAATTTTTAAAAAATGCGCCGTTGAATCCAAAATTGTGTAGTGGATGAGAGGTGTGAGTGGTGGAGAAAGACCTTTGAGTTACCTGATAGTGAGAATAGTGATCTTGAAAGTGAGGATAGGGATCTTGAAGTGATTTCACAGGAGATCTGATAATTTGGTATATGGTTTTGTGTGTTTCTGTTTATATAGAATCCAATTTAAGGGTTTTTGATCTGTCATCATTCGTTGTAATTAAATGTGAGTAGAGCAAAGTTTCACAAATACCTTTATAAATAACCAGTTATTTTTAATTGGTGAAGTTGATTGGGCGAAGAAATATCAGTCAGATCAGCAGAATAATGTCGTGGGATTTTTTTTTAGACCTACCTGCGAGGGCTGGAGGAGACTTAGCTTAATGTACCACCTAATAGAAGATGCCCCTTGCAGTGCTGCAAGCCCTCAGTTCTGCACTGTGGTCATGCATAAGCTTATCTGCTCCATCTCTAGTTTAGCATTTGAACCTGCAACCTCCTGGTTCAAGGCAAGAGTGGCAGTCTTGCCTCCAGCCCATCTGACCTAGAGTTATACAACACAGAAACAGACCCTTCGATCCTTTGTCTGCATCAACCAGACATCCCAATCTGATCTAGCCCCATTTGCCAGCATTTGGCTCATCTCTGTCTCAACTCTTCCTATTCATGTATCCATCCAGATGCCTTTTAAATGTTGTAATTGCACTGCTTCCCTTGGCAGCTCATCCCATACAGGTACCACCTTCTGTGTGAAAAAGTCACCCCTCGGGTCCTTTTTAAATCTTTCTCCTCTCAGCTTAAACCTATGTCCTCTCGTTTTGGACTCACCCACCCTAGGAAAAAGACCTATTCACCCTCATCCCTACCCCTCATGACTTTATAAATCTATGTAAGGTCACCCCTCAGTCTCTGATGCTCCAGGGAAAAAAGATCAAGCCTATTCATCCTCTCCCTATAACTCAAACTCTCCATCAATATTCCAGATGACTTGTAGCTTGTGGTGAGTAATAGATGGGAGAGTAATCTGCGCAGCATTTGCAGAAACCAAATCATGAAATTATAAAGACATAAATTGGGGAGCTCAGCAGAGGGCAGGGGTATTGCTGAGGGAAAAGTAGAAATGATTTGGATACATTTGTGTAGAGCAGTGGGATTCAGCTCATCTTTCACTCGCTGACCAAAAACGAAACTGATGTGGGTTGCAGTCAGCCTGCATCTAATGATGACGTGATTAAGACAAACCATATGAATGTAATTAAACATATGAAACAATAAGCAAACTCAACAGCATGGTGTGGAAATGGCAACATCGGAAATACATGTCGTTGGATCCCTGATTCTTTTGAAATGTCACGGCAATTTTTATGATTTGAGTCATCTTGTTTCATTTTGAAAATAATTCTTGGATGAAAATCTGCGGCTGCCTTCTATACCTGTTACAGCATCTTTGGAAGGGTCTTTTAATGGGTCCATTGTTGTCTGTGTGAACAGCAAGTTCAGCTAACTGTGGTCTAGCTTCTGGTGCTAGTTTGGTTGCTCACTAAGGGCAAAACTTGTCAAACTCCCAACCACTGAATAATCTACATTGTTCTGTCTTGTGACTGAAGGGACATTCACTCTCGAGCAATTGTTCTGCCAGTGTCCTTGATTGTGGATGTATATCTTGATGTTTGACTGAAATTTATTGCCTTTGACCACCTTAGCACATGTACCATTGAAATCTTGAATATATCTTTAGATGGTCTAATTGCCAATCTCCAAACTCTATAGTCTTCAACTGAACTTAAATTATTCTGTTCTCATTCTATACCAAGTGTGTCACCCATCATTAGAAATCTGCATTGACTGCTAGACTCTCAGTGTCTCCATAAATTATCATTCTTGTGTTTAAGTCCTTCACTCGCCTTTCCCTGTATCCATAACCCTTGCAGCTTTACAGTCCTCCTGCCAACTCCTTCAACCTAACTTCCTTCTGAATCCAGCCTTTATTGTCCCAGTTAGCAGCTGTTCATTCAAGTGAATATATGCCACTCCCAGGATTTTTCTCCCTGGTCTCCCCTGCTTGTTTTTCTTTTTCAAAGTCGTTGTTTCAACTCGAGCTCAGTCACTGCATGCAATAGGTTTTCCTTTAGAGCTCTGCTATATTTCATTTTCACTCTGACTTGCTTTTGAGCATTTTCCTCTTAAGTGGGTGCAATGTAAATGTACGTTATTGTTGCCTCATCTATTAGCAGTCAGTCATAAGGAAAAGAAAGATGAGAACTCATGCAATTTGGAATATCCTCAAGCATTCTACAACCAATGGAGTATTTTGGGCATATAGTCAGCGTTGTAATGCTGGAAATACCGCAGCCACTATGTCCAACAGCAGGAATGAAATAACGAACAGATGATTTGTTTTTTAGTATGGGATAAACTTCTTGAGGACTTCTCCCTCTCTATGCAACCTTCTCTGACACTGCAGCACTTTCTCAGTACTGCACTGAGGGTTTACGTCTGGAGTTGGGCTTGAACCAACAAATTTCTGATTCAGGTGAAAGTGTCACCCACCCAGCTCCAGCTGCCACTGTATTTGTGTATGTTGTAATTTGTTAATAAGCTGTTAGACTGCCTGCAGTTTTAGTTGGATGTTGTGCAGCTGCTAATGGTCTACTTTGCCGTTTCTAGGTGGACTCCCATTACTGTCCAAGCTGTCTGGAGAACATGCCATCAGCTGAAGCAAAGCTCAAAAAGAACAGGTAAGCTGCTTTGTCTATTACCAGGAATTCAGATTATTGTAAAAACTGTTCGATGTGACTGCTGCAATCTCGGCTTGTGAAATTAATTGATGTCCAATTGGGAGTTACATCCTGTCTCCTTGAAAACTGTGCAGTTGTTTCCATTAAGCATTTCATGACTTAAAGCAATTCTCTGCATTGGGTCACTATGAGACGCAATGGTAATGACAGTAGGCTTGTAATCTAAGATAACCAAACTAATGTTCTGGGGACAACAAGGTGCAGGGCTGGATGAACACAGCAGGCCA